CAAGCCGAATGAGTAGGGGATCGTCCCAGCAAGTCGATCAAGTAGGGGATCGTCCCAGCAAGTCGATCAAGTAGGGAATCGTCCTAGCATGTCGATCAAGTCGGGGATCGACCCAGCGTGTCGATCAAGTCGGGGTTCGGCCCAGCAATTCTGTCAAGTGGTTGATCTTCACAGCATCTCCATCAAGTGGGTGAACGACACAGCATCTTCATCAAGTGGGTGAACGACACAGCAAGTCGTTCAAGTGGGGAATCGACCCTGGAAGTCGTTCTGCTAGGGGCTCTGCCGGGGGTTCTGTAAGGGGCTCAGCAGGGTCCTTGCCAGGCGTTTTACCAGGGGCCCTGCCAGGGGCTCTGCCGGGGCTTTGCCTGGGGTTTTACCAGGGTCCTGCCATGGGCTCTGCTGAGGGTTCTCCCAGCACACAAATTCCTGAGCTGCGTCGTCCCATTACATGCATTCCCGACATTTATATCCGTGCGTTCTGAGCTACTTTATTAATATATTTTTCAAATATTAATGAAACCTGGGGGGAATAGAAAGGCGCCATCGTATTCACTAAAGCACGATTATAGCTGCGATGGCTTTGGAGAGTGCACAGCAAAAACGTTCCGAATGGAGCAAAACTTGGCTGCAGAAGTGAGATTCAGTAATATATTTGCAAAATGCAGTGAAATAAACTCCCTAGAAAAGTCATGAACTCGAACCCGCCACGCTAATACCCCAAATCTCACGATTCGCACCTAACAATTAATTTGGAAAAAGTAGACGATTTCAAATGCCAAGAAAGCCGTGAACGAGACTACCGCTGGGAGCTCTTGTCAAACTATATTTTCTGTATGGAAAAGTAGAATGTGCTCAGAAGTGTCCACGCAGGAATTGTGCAGTAAGATCAGCATGCTAGTAGTACGTCCAATATGCACGAAAACTGTATCGTATAAAACGGCCTTTACACATAGTCTGGCAGATTAGACTCTTTTGAGCAGAAACTTGGGATATACGTCAAGAGTAAGATCTAGTTGTGTCGTCCCGGAGAACATTGACGTATTTTAACTTTTGTGGGTTCTTCACATGAAGCCTCTGTGACATTTTCAATTCTGAAAAGTGGCTCCAAATTTGTTTCTTTATATTTGTCTCGGGTAGGAGAAAGTGAATTTATAAATATGGTGGGTTCCGATTTTCATGAAAACCTACGAAATTTGAAAAATAACCAAAGTTCACATTTTTTTTAACCTGCCCACAACTCCCATATTAAATAAGCCTTTTTCTGTATGCGATATATCCCTTCATTTCAAATCTACATTTCGTGTGTTTTTATAACAAAAATATTTGTAGAGTAATAACACTAAAAGAAGAATTAGCGTCGATATGCCCAGAATTTATCTAGTTTTCATATTAGAATAGCAGCATGTAATTTTTTTATTTATATGTTGTTTAGCAGTTAATTTGGAAAAAGCCATCTTCAGCGAATTACTATTTAATTATCCAATCACTTTATGCTTTATGAATTTATATTTTTATGTTTATAGTAGTTATTTTGTTGCGGGTTGCATCTTTGTAATATATGAATGTGATAAACCTTTGTTGTTGTTGTTGTTGTTATTATTATTATTATTATAATTATTATTATTATTTGCTTATGAGCTCCTACCGATCAACGTGTGGAATTATGTGGATCAGCCTTTCAGCTGCATCCCTTAAACCTTCATTATTATAAACGCTTCATATCTTATTCTTAATTATTGTATCTGTACTAAGAAACCAATAAGATTTTTCTTCTATATTTCGTCCATTTTATAAAAGTGTTAACTTGATATAATTGTCTGTATTCGTAATCCTTCACTTTGCATTAACAAGTAACATTCCACAGCTATTCGTAAAATACGTTCATTTTCTCCTGCAATGCAGTTTCGAACATTCAATAAATTGAATTTGCAGATCCTTCGTCAAAATCAGGATGATATGTTAGAAGATTTGGAACAAGGAGACGTGGCAGAAACAGTAAGCAAATTTTTTCAAGAAAGTAAGCATTGTCGTCCTTCCAAAAATAGTCATCTCACTATTCAAGAGGTATGAGGAAGATCTCGTATATATACTACAGTATATGCACATAAAAACAGTTCTTGATTTACTAAATGTAGCATGTATGGGCGTGGCTTTTATAGATTGATAAATTCCTAGAAGAACTGTCGCAACTTACCAGAGAGGATGATCAGGCACATTTGTTCACTCAAATATGTGAAAAGTACGTACGTATACATAAATGTTATTATGTTATATTTTACGGGGTTATTTCACTGTTTTCTTTATATTTCAGGTGTACATCAAATGATTTATGTTACATTATACGCCTTGTAAAGCATGATCTCCGCATCAATGCAGGTCCCAAACACATGTAAGTATTTCTCTTGTCCATGGACATTGTTTTCGGTAATTTTTTATACGAGTAGCAAATGAAGCTGTTCTTGTACGTAGTGTATGTGACTTAGATGACCGTTTTAGATTAGAATACATGTGCATTGGTCACCGATGACTCATATCGTTACGTTGCTTTCATATTGGTCACAGGTCAGAGCAAAAATGTAGAACGTATTTTTCAGTTGCGAAATACTTTAGCGTTATACCGAAACCACAACGAAAATAGCGAAAGGTATGAATATATGATGTCTCAAGTCCAGTGTTTCAAGATAGTTTACGGACTTAACGGAGTTGTACTTCTGAACTCTCTTCGCATGGAATAAATAAAATTCGTTTGGAATGCACGTATTGAGAATGGTACAGTGCTCAAAATCTCTCTTTGCTTATCGAACCATAAATACGAAGCCCGTCAAAATATGAAACCAATAGGTATTTTATTTTCGTTTCACATGAATTGCTGAATTGTAACCCCATGGTAATGATAGCATACACGTCTTCTTGTCACAATTCGTGATTTTGTTTTTCTAAATTTAGCAACTGGATTTATCCACTTTTTCGTTGCAGGGCCAGGCTATAATTGTTTTTCTGCCGAAAATTCGCCGTTTTACTTTCTCGCCTTACGAATACTTCGTACGAAGAGAATGTTATGTAATCGTGCGCCAGAGGACGGCTTGGCCCTGGTAACGAAAAAGTGGATAAATCCTGTTGCTAAATTTAGGGAAGGGGGAATTCTCTAACAGGTGGTTTAGCCAAAATCCATGTTTTGTTGGTTCTTGATACCAAAAACTCGATCAACGGTAAAATAAATGTCCGTCCGTTTATGGTCACCTATGGCGCCTAAACTGTTCAGTCGATTTTCTTCAAACTTGGTATTTCTCAGTCGATCTGAATGAACTCGTGGCTTTGGGATTTTCAAAGGGATATTTTGATTTTTGAGGTACTTCACATGAAGCCTTTTTTTTTTTTTTTTTTTTTTTTTTTTTTTTTTTTTTTTTTTTTTTTTTTTTCTTCCAAAAACTGCCCTAAACTTTGATCAAACTTTGTCTTTGGATATCGTAAAGAACGCTTGTCGTAATGAGAGTAGTGGTAGTCTCGTGTTCATTGAAATCGCAGACTTTTTGAAAATTGAAACAGGGCATTTTTGTGGCGTCTTTCTGCAACTACAGTATTGAAGTTTCCTGATTTTTGTGATTTTTTGGAGGTGATAATGGTCTGAGTGTGGGCAAGTTAACTCTGATAATCTGAGTTTGTGAGTTTTCGGAGTGGAAAAAAATTGCTGATTGACAATACTTTTGCTGGTATAATATTGGGGAGCATTTAGAAACGGGAAAGTAAATGTTTTGGTAGCACCATTTTTTGTTATTTAAGGTCGCATCTACTTCTAGGCCATTAGCGACCACTATTGCTTGTAACGGTATGGTAACTGTCAGAATGACACGATATGATGATGATGATGATGATGATGATGATAGGGGTGTGAAAGGACGAACACAATACAACCATGCCCGAGGCGGGACTCGAACCCGCGATCCTTCGGTCTGTGATCGCTACAGCACTCCATCTCGGCCACCGGATCGGCATTTCCTTTCTTTGTTCGCATTACATAATTTTCTCTATAATACGTAAGCAGTAGCGAGAAAGTACAAAGGACATGTAAAATAAAATAGTAAACTTATTATTATTGTTATTAAAAATAATATATCGACCACCTCTGGTAAACCTTCAAAAGCCTTGAAGTACAGCACACACTGTTCAATAATCCCTTGTGTATTGTAAGACCTTTCTATTTCATAACTGTTCCTAAGGAAAACTTGTTTAAGCAATTTTCAACAGCCATTTTCTGCGAGCAAGTAAAGAACTACTCTGCGCAACACGTGCTCAAGGTGTTGTTTACGTAATGTGACAATGAATGTTTCAGCTTGGAAGCTATTCATCCAGAAGCATACTTGGCATTTCAAACATCAAGAGATCTGGATACTGTTTTAGAAGAAGTATTTTCAACAAAAAGCAAAGAAGAGAAAGGCAGTCCTAAATCTCTCAATATCAGCGTAAAACTGATGACACCCGTTTTGCCAATGTTGGTAAGTTTCATAGTCCACTACCCATAGAATAATTAATTTGTTTTTAATTAAAGTTTGCCAATTAAATTAATTTTTATTGCTTTGTTTTTCATCACAGCATTTATTTCTGTAATAATAACTAATGTATTTAAATTTTATTGTCTGTGGTCTTGGTGTAAAATTTGTGAGTCTACGACAGCACATAATGTCTCGTATTATTGGTCATCTCTGTAACACAATGTAATATTCGTTGTACCTTCTCTCCTAATATTTCAGCCATCACTCGAAAGACAGAAGCAAATTAACTCTAACAAAATTTTTTTAGATGCACCTGAAATGATTTAAAGAGCAAATGTGGTAAAACAGATTGCATTATGAAAACAATTTTTCAACTTAAATATTAAGGATGTATGACGAGTTAAAAAAATTGAACTTTCTCACTGTATAATTCAAAAGTATGGAGAAACAACAAATATTTGTTAAAAAGTTAACATGAAGTAATTTAGGTTTTTTGTCCAGTTTCCCTTAACCCTTTGAGAAAATGCTGAGGTGGCCCTCGACCCTTGCTTTATTTTCTTGACAGTAAATGTAACTTCACTCTACCCAAGTCTTCTTGAGCTCCCTTTTGCTAGACGTGAGAGGACTAATTATTTGTAAGGAGTGTATTCAAAATCAAAATTGAATGTTACGAGGACGTTCAGCCGATGGTCTCCAAAATTGATATTTCACAATCGATGAAGCTAACGTCTCAGTCTCTTGAATTTCAAAACTGATATTTTTAATTTGGGAGTACAAGACAGATTTTGAAATATTGTGATTATAATTTTTTGAAAATCTGAATACTTTTCATATAATTTGGCGTGAAATAGGCAATTTGTTTTTATTTTGTTTAAACATTTTTTTCTCAAAAAATGGCCCTATCGTTATTTATTAAATTTTGTTTTTGGATATTCTGAAGGACGTTTAAGCTTTAAATATATGCCTGGGGTCCATTGGTCCCCAAACAAGTTTTGTAACATACGTTTCATTGGAAAATAAATATTTAGGATATTTTACTCCCACGTAAATTCAGTTAGTACTTTTAGGAAGGGCAACCTCACAGTTGCCACCTTCTGTTAATCTGCTACCAACCTCACAGTAGAGTGCACAAGTGGCTTTGGGGTTTGCAGGACCCCAGTATTATAGTTATCTGTGTCTTTTTAAAAGTTGTAATTTTTGTGGTGTTTTACAGATTTTTCTATACAAAATAACTTCAAACAGTGTTTGTAATATATATATATATATATATATATA